ATAAGAAAGAGACTGTTCCTATTAAAAGCAGTGTTCATCTTGATTTTTGTCGTTGTGCTCTGTTGAAATCTGTTTTAAAATATATGCAATCAATAATTATTTATATAGAATGATGTTACCAAAGAACGAATTCAGCCTCATAAAGAGTTTCAATAAGCAACCTTATTTGGACATCAGAACCTGTGCATCACATTTGACCAAAAGATGTTTATTTTCCTGTTTTTGAATGCAGTACCAAAAACTTTACAATGACAAGAGATTATCAAGGTAGGAGAGTGAATCCCACATATAGACCTTCTACCCAAGGTAATCCCTCTTAAGTTATTTTTAGACATTATACCCAGTTCTTCCATGGATATCACTCGCGCGTTGCGTGAATGTTTTCGTGGAGGATCTGTTTATGTTTCGTTTCGTTTCGTTTCAAAGCAAAGGAAAATCTCCAACGCTGTGGAGATGTCTTCTTTGATATTATGATTACAAGCAAAAGAGCTTCGGCTCTCGGTATGTTTTAATACGTTTCGAAACTATAATAGGAGTTTACGAGACGAAATAAAAGACGGATGTCCTCTGCTCAAACAATAAGAACTGAATGAAAAACAGATAAATGTTTAGACAAACGAGTGCAAAGCAAACAAACCCCCAAACACAAGCTAGGCAACCGAAAAAACAGATGGTCGAAAGTGCAGGCAGACGCTCGCTGCCCAAGTAGCAAAAAGCAGTTTAAGCAACAACGGCAACAACGATAAAGACAACGTCGATAAAAAAAACGACTTAATATTCAACCCACAAATCTCGCTAGAATTTAGATTCATTCAGTTTGTCTATACTGTCAAAAATATCCCAATCAGAATATGTAAGACAGCTTCAAAATTCGAAAAATAAATTTAAAAAATTGGCTGTCGTATGCATAGTTCACGTTCTCTCGAAGATGCGGAATGTGGCTAATTCACGTTGTTGTTTTGTGACGTTTTGTAAACAACGGCAAAGAAATGAACAAAGAACTATAACGCACGCTTACACAGCCATTGTACTCGTTGCCATTGCCGTTGCTGTTGAAGATTGCTTAATTAAACTCCCTAAAACCGAATTTAAACGGCAAATAATGAACAGCCAAACGAGCACAAAACAAACGAAAGCTCGGCCGAGCAAAAAGGCGGCTGAGAGCTCTGGTATGAAACGAAATCAAAACATGTAAAATGATGTTCCCGCCATTTCGTCTCAGGTAGTTTCCAGAAAGTCGCTTCGGCTGTCCACGCACCGCGCGAATAACATCCTCGGAAGAACTAGGTACAGTGTCTAAAAATAACTTAAGAGGGATTACCTTGGGTAGAAGGCCTATATGGGGGATTCACTCTCTTACCTTGATAACCTCTTGACAATGGTCAATTTCTCTTCTCTTTTTATTCAATTACCTTTATTACATTCATCCAATAGACCATTTCCGAGTTGCCTTTTGCCTCTAGGTCAAACGAGTCTAAGTGCAAAACCATTCATATTTCTTACGCCCTCAGGTTCATTTTCATGCAAATCAAACTTAGTTCCGCACGAAGACTCGTTTTGAAACTGAGGCAGACAGAAACATTCGTCCATGAGCTGGCTCACAGGAGCCTTTGATTTGGATCATTATGGACATTGAGTTCATTTTGGTGAAAAACAACAGGCAACAGCAATACTCTATAAATCACAAGTGATAAAATATAATCTTACATCTAACAGCACTTGGCCAATATCCAGCCATCTTGGCCTCATACTAGATCAATAACCCATTTATCTACTGGCTTGTTTAACACCCCTTAAACGAGCCTGCTGTAGCAAGTAAATAGCTAAAAATGCTCCTTTAAGAAAATGTTTCCGACAAAGACAATAACTGGACCAAGAAGAGTAAGCCATATAGACTTGAGTTGTGTAAGTTGAAGGCCAGCTACCTTAAATCCCACATTTCCATATCGTTGGTGTCTTTCTAAGAGACCGGAAAACAGTACTTTCTTCTCTTCAGTTTTAAAAACAAACCCTCTTTCACGTTGATCATCACAGTCAATTGTCGTAACCGTGTAAATCAGATGGCTGAGCTGCGAACTGACTTGCCCTAATTTATACAGTGGAAGGGAGAAAAGGAACACCGTTTCACAGAGGAACACCCCAAACGTTCCTAAACACTCAGAGAGCACTACTCCATAGTAAATACTTCTTGATGAAGGAATATGCTCAAACATCTCCACACTGGAATAAACACTGATTGTTCCCCACAGCACCAACAGGAAAAGAAGCGCCACGATTAATGGTTGGAATGCCAGGGAAGAATTTTGAATCCTCCTTGACAATGTTTTGAATTTCCTTAGGAGTTCTGTTAAACTTTTGTCACTTTGCTGTATCTGTTCGTTGAAGTTCTTCAGTTCCAGGATATGAATTTCAACCACGAGAACAAGGAAGAAAAACGCTGGCATGGCCATGACTCTGCTATAAACAAGAACAAAAAACTCCACACTCTCCACAGTGACGTCCCAATTTCGAGGAATTCCACTTGCGTGTTCTATGAAAATCGGAATCAACTTCTGTAACAAGGGCAATGCAAGGAGAACAAATGCTGTTGCTGCCATATGATCATTGATCAGACGACGTGATCTTTGCCACTGAATGAACGAAACGCGCCCTTTGTTAGTTAAAATGTCATTTATGTGTCCTCGATGAGCTTCAAAGAACCACAAGCCAAGATGATGAAGAATTACATAACGCAGCGTCCAAAGCAAGCGATGCATCACTGCCACAATTGAGGTGAAAGTATTTGTACTTGCCAAAAGGGCTGATAAACCGTTAAACACATTAAATATCTCAAAGCCCATCGCTGCCCATAAACTTAATGCAACAGCTGCCCTCATAATTTTGTACAACATGAAAGCAAACTTACCAGAGTAATTTCCTTCTTCTCTTGGCTCGATCCACTGAAATGTCAACCACATGTAGGTATACAGACTGGAGCCTTTCAGGCTCATTCTTGGCGGCACTAGTGGGTCGTCATCTCCGCCATTTGAACTATGAGGAGTGGAAACTGTGAACGTTGCGCCTCCTTCCGTTGGGTTTCGATTTGCAATTGAACTGCTGCCAGTGAACGCCTGATCGATAAGGGTTGCTACATCTTCACTTTCTGCTTCGCTGCCCTCCTGCCCAATCACCAATATTACACTTCTTGAATCGGAGTTTTTACCCTTCGTCTCCCTCAATTTTACGTGCGCGTTTGCGTCATGTAGCGCCCCGACAAGATCTGTTAGTCGAGTGTTGCTTGGCACGTAGACAGGAAGAAGATGATTACCATGAGGAACATAACAAGTCACACTGGCACTTTCGTAAGTTGAACACGCCATAATTGTCACGTCCAGAACCGTACTCAATAAAATTTTGTCGATCGATAAGAGTCGTGAATTTATAAGTGCTTGATCACGTCTTTCAAAACGAAGACAATTTCATTCAAGTTCTCAGAAATGTTATGCTTAGAGTTAAGACATTATGCAGTGTGCGAAAACGGACAAACCAAATTCTCGGAATAAAACCAATGACATTAGCATACTAATGAGGAGTTATGATAATCAGTTATTTTTGTCGGTCACGCGATCATAACTTATAGGGACAAGAATATTCAAAAGCGAGGCTACCACCGTAAAGCTGTAATCGTAGTAACCCTAACCCTAACTCGTCTTTCAATAATTATTTTGATTATTTTAAGGCAGCTTCTGAACTGTTGGGTCACTGGTGCGTGTACCTTTCGTCCATTTCATTTCCGTAAAAAATCAAAAAGCAAAAAGCAAAAATGTAAAACATGACTTTCAATTATTGAATTAAATAAAACTCAAAATGAAAAGTAGGTGTTCATTTTCCGTGTCTTTTGTTCAAAACGGAAATAAAAAAAAAACCTATACCATTTCGTTTATTTTAATTTTCCAACTAAACATTCTAAAGCAAAATCAAAAAGCGCCACGTTTTTCCCAACAGTTTCGAATGCCAAAAGACAGAATCTTGTTCTTTTATCATTAGTTCTAAATACATGAATCTACAGAACATAGTAGCGTGACCAAAATATCAATTTTGATTACCGTATGCGATGAAACTCAAATAGCGAAATCTTAC